TTATATCGTTACCGGGAACATGGCATTACAAGACACGAAGAATGCTCTCATTTTGAGCAAATGATAGCACAAACTCAGGGACAAAATGATACCACAGATCATTGGAATGAAAAAAAATCTGTAAGTATTCGTACCCACGTGTTTATTATCACTTTCCACATTGCAATGACAATTGGAGTTTTTTTTTCGAAAGATATACCTTATGTTTTGTACCGTTTACTGTGTAATATTTGGTATATCTCCTCGAATTTCAAAGTTCATTTTGTAAATATACATTCGTAAAAGCTAGTAGGACTCTTGGAGTACTGACAAGTGATATTTAAAATTTTGTCTTTCGTAATTCATATTTCTGTGTTTCTGAATATATTTTGAACATTTTTAAAAATAAAATTTAATAAAACAAGTTTTGAGTTTTTTAATGTTTTTTTTCTTTTATGAACATTTTCTTTTACTGTTTTATGTCTACATTGACATATTGTTAGAAAATTTACACATAAATAACAAATCGTTGTGATTTCTCGTTGATTAAGATTTGTAGCGATACGAGAATTTATTGATAATTACAAAAATATTAATGAAATTAAGCAAGACTTGAACACGACACATCAGACCCTTAATTATACGCTAGCTTTTGCTTCTCCTTTAACTAATTCCATTGTTTGTGGTGCGTGTTGCCAGGCATTTGTGAACAGATTGTATCAGTTTGCATTTCACTTAGGGCAGCAGTGGGCCGTCCACACCAATACACCGCCACACCTCAAAAAAAAGGTACAGGACCAGTCTAAAATTTGCTATACCAACAAATTTTATTTAAGAAGACAATAAAACTGCGTATTCGCTAAGTACATTAGCCACAACATTTCAATGAAAGGTAAATGCATACATTATTATGTATTGCAGAGAAGAAGAAAAAAGTTACTCTTCCATCGACCGAAAGTTCATTGTAAAAGACTTACCCAGCAGCAGCTTCTCAATCAGTCAAGTCAATCCCAATCGGACGACGACTCCAGCCAATCAGTGGGCGGAGCCGGATAACAATCCAAATTCTTCCAGCCAGCATTCTACCAGCTCCAGTTCTGCTATCGAAAAGCATTATACTGCGACAACTTCCAGAAAATCTTGTTCTGCAATGGGAGATTCAGAAGAACGAGATATAGAGATGGAGGCCGCAGCACATTTATTAACGAAACAAGAAAAATCATTATGCCTCCAGCTTGATTTGAAGCCAACACAGTATTTAACGCAAAAAACGTTGTTGTTGCAAGTAAGTTACAATGTAGAAGGATTATTTTTTGCCTAAAGTTAAATGACCACTTAAAGTCATTGAAGTGTAAGTTATACCATATTGTTTAAAATAATTTTCAACGATTTCTTGGTGAAAGCAGGATACACGCTTCTTATAAGTAACATAATATTCAATCAACGTTTTTAACATTTTTCAATTACAATATCATTTTTACTTCTTCATTTCGTGTCTTCTCTGTGGCTTTTTGTTCTAAAAAGTTTCATTTGAAAACAATTGAAGGGTAAACACTTGGATCGCTTTTGTCTTCAGCAAAATGATCTCAAGCTGAGTTTGATTTTGGGCGGAAAATTACTCGTACTGTTACTATGAATTTTAGTTGCATTTTCTGTACGTGTAAATTGTGTGGTTTCAGGAGTATCTAAATGGTAATAGGAGATCAGGCGTTGTACCTCAGTCGGAACCAGAGAGTAAAATATTACATTATCTGGTAGCAAATGGCTGGATCGCGGCCAACTGATTAAACGTGTAAAAAATTAACGACCATTTCAACTCTAAGTCACCTTCTATTTTGCAAACTAAGTCCTAGGAATAATTACAATTTGAGTCTGATTTAATTAACATATATAGAGCAGGTAGAGAGAGAATGTGCGTGTATATAATTTAATATGTAAAGCATTCTTTGCTGCAATTTCCTCAAAGTATTGAAAAGTAAAAATTAAATGAATATATTGGCAGTTAAAGTGTTACAAATAGCGAACACAGTTGATTGATCACTTTACTTCGTTTCAGATTAACGAAAATGTTATTGATAAATAAAAGCGAAATACAAAATTTTTCGTTTTTATCGAATTAGAACTTACCGTTGTTTGCAACTATTATACCACAAACCACTGATACTCTTAACTGTTTTTAAGAAATGTACATTGAATAATCACAGCCGCATCGCGCGAAATCTTTTCGTTAACTTGTGTACTTGGTTCTAACGAACGTTGTTACCTTAGACATTTATTTAACTTTTAATGTTACTGTTGATAACAGTAGTGATTATTTAACACTTTTTGTCAGAAAAATCTCTTACACTGCCTTTATAGAGCCATTGAACATATTGCTCAATTCATTCTTCCACTGTAGTTTTCTTGTACAAATTATTAGTTGCACATACACCTTTCTATCTGTTTGGAATGTAATTTGTTACCATACTTGACAATAAGGAAATGCAAGAGAGAAATCACGTTGTAGTCAAGGTTTCTAGATCGTTGTCTAACGCTATGCTTAAACAATTCAGACGTATCTATCCAGAAACTTTTTAATCGATACTCTGTGTAACGGTGTTTGAAAGTTGCTGATCGGGTATCTGTTTAAATATTTAAATAAAAAACACTTTAAAATATTTATATAGCTGAGATTCATGAAAGTATTGAATATTACTATAGTGATAAGCTTAATGAACTATACATATGAACACGCATAATGACCTAAATATTTCTTCGTACTCTTAAAAACTTGTTCATTAAAAGGTAATTCTAAACATCTGACGCATGCATGATTCACGCGCAAATCGATACGTTTTATTCCAGTTTCTTCGAACGATTCAAAGAATATTCCTTATTGATAAAGCATGGTACAAAGAACAGATCATAAGAGAAAATTTGTTATTACCATAAAAATAATATATTAGGTAATTTATCTGTTACCCGTGTAATATTTGTACATAAAAAAAAAAAACAGAAAATAGTACCTTCTTAGTGATATTACTTTTAAAGCACAAAAGTAATGATGGTATAGTCTAACGAAAGGTTAAACGTATAGTGTGATAATGGTGGTGTTCTGAGCCAAACTCATATTGCAGAAAAAGACACTTTTAGCCTTCTAAAGAAAACGATTATTTTTCGTTGCTTCTAATGGTAGTTAATCATAACTTCTATTAAAAAAAAGTGAAAAAAAGAAGAGGGACAAGATGTTTATATCGAACACGTGGTTCTTTGATGCATGTCTCGGCAACTTTGAAACGCATTAACAACTATCGTTGAGCATAAACGTACAAGTCTGGTGCATCAAGGAACGACAAATTATTCAATTGCAAAATTTTGTATACATCTCATGTTTGGTACGCTTGAAAAAAAACGGAAAAACGAAAAAAAAAAAGAAAAGGTAAATCGTTTGCTTTAAAGTAATTCAGTACTTCCTAAAATATTCACGCTTACTGAAGTCTCGAGCACTTTAAGTTCGAGCGAAAGATTAACGCGAGAAGTTTATCTTGTATCAATAATATACATGTAAAAAATTGTGAAAAAAATTATATATATACACACACACATGTACATACATAAAAGGAAACTATTCACTTTTGGGAGTAGTTATTGAAACAAACAAAAAGAAAAAGAAACCATATGTATAAAGAGAAAGAAAGAATTTAAAAATCATTTCGTTTCGAAACAATACTTATTATGGCGTATTGCTTAAGTACTAGCTAGATAACGAAATAGGGAAATAGCTGCTCATATTTTTTACGGAGAGTAGAAGACTATTATCCCTTTTTATTCAACGTACCTCTTTTTTTCTGCCCGATCTTCCACGAACGGATATAATCATTTCTCTATAGATGCTTCTTCAAAACTCATTCTTACGTTTTCTTTTTTTTTTTTTTTTCGCCCCCCATTATTTACTTAGGGACGGCTTGAAAGTCGATCGATGTAAGTTTCGTCTCTTGTGATTTTTACGACGACGTTCGCTTCTGTTATTTAATTTGCACATCGATCCCTTTGTTTTGTATAATTTTTTTTTAGTTTCGTTTACATCTCTTGAACTGTCCACGTGTCTTTTTAGACACATTTTACATTGCACTTTTTTTCAAACATTCGAAAACATTTTTGTGTTTTCTTTTTTCTGTTTTCTTTAATTTTGTTTTCTTTGAAATCGTTCGTAACAACTTGCACAGATCGACTTATCCGTCATTTGACTGTAATATTCCTATAAGAAATGGTCCACTACAAATACAGACTGTTTAACTGAGCGAACGTAGATAAAAAGTTATCTCGAACGAAGAGGTCAGTACGCCTTCCTATAGCTACTTAAAGATATAGTAATTTATAAAGTCGGTATAGAGACTTTGCGACGGTCTTTGTAACAGTACACGAGTGCACTGCGTCGTTTTAACTTTTATAAAGTTTATGGAAATCGATTCGCATTGATACTTTTTTTTTCTGTTTCTGTTTAAAAGAGGGTGAAATACACAGTTGTTTTTAGTTCGAAGAGATGTGAGAGAGAGAGAGAGAGAGAGCGATCGTTTAACGAAAGAATGAATGTAACGGTGATTATTCGACGGGTTCGAATTGTTTTTTGAAATTAATGGGATCTTTATTGTGAGGTGAATATCGTATGACAAACAACGAGTTTGTTGTATCTAATTGTTCTAGAAATAATGGAAAAACCAATATTTCAAAGCTAAAGCTTTCATTCTTGTACTTGGAATCAAACAGTCGTTGAATGTATAAAATAAACTGTACAATAGGTATTTTCCCTTAAAATCATGCCTGTTACTTTCGATCTACCAACTATCCTTTGTATTACCCTAATCACTAACATATGAAGTTTTACAATTTTATTGAATAATTCACAGTGATAAATTGTTTTTTTCGAAATTTTATTGTGGTTTATTTTACTAGGTTAAACGAATAGATTCGACAGAATTGGAAAGTTATTAGTATTATTTAATATGATGTATTCTTATTAGTTTTTCTAATTAAGAAAATAAACAAACGCAATATGTATATCTATAATTTGTTGTATAAAAAAAAAAGTAATGTTTACTAATTTCTAGAGTGTCCTTTTTTTGTTTTATTCCACACATTTCTTTACGAAGTATTCGTTGTTATTTTTTTTCTTTACTGATTTTCGATAAAAATAGTGATACGAAATTATGAAAATGACTTATTCGTAAAATTCTGCGATACATCTAGAGAGACGAATATTACTTAACGTATATTTGATAATTATCGCTGCTAACCTTGAAACGAAACTTTCCAGAAGCGTTCTTCTTTTAACTTTCAAACAAAATATTTGTTCGACCAGTCAATTTCTGGTTACGTGTAGGTTCCATTCGTAATGTGATCATAAAGTGTTTTTATTCTTCTACGATGAACAGTAGACATATCTTCTCCACGATGTTCCGTAATATCGTCGTAGAATTCTCTAGGCGTCTTAAATATTAGTTCGTTCAAGGTTTTTTTTTTTTCATTTAAAATTCATAAATCCAATTGATTTATTATACTTATCGTCGCCGTTAATAGGTTACGAATTGTAATATGTGTATTTTGTTACAGACGTTTTAAACTGTTCTCTAAATTATTCCTACCCATTATTTATTTTAATTTCCGCTAATGCGACGTGATATACTGGGAATTGAATTTAAATTTTTAATTTCTGAAACCTTGATACCCCGTCTGAATTGCAACGGCAGTATTGTTCATTAATTACTCCAATTCATTTTTAATAGTTGATCCGTGCACGTTGCAACCGCCAATAGCGATCTGCGGAACGTCTGATCTTCGAGGTGTGATACATAACGTCAACTGCGTAATTAGGATAATTTACGATTACACTTAACCATGAAAGCCGCGTGTACAACAAACAATCACGATTAAATGAATACCGATAATGAGTCACATCAGGATTTGTCAGGATTTCTTGGATGAGAGACCTCTGACGTCTTCGTAAACTGTTTTTTTTTTTCTTTTTTTCTTCTCATATCTGCACGACGTCCTTCGTCATTCGTCCGTGCAACGTATACTTTTCTTGTCACCTTTTTCAGCCTCCTTATTTGTGTTCTGATTTCGTAAAAAGTGAATGCTACAATTGTACCGGTGATCGTGAAAAAAATTTATTCAAAGTATTCTCACTTTTACGTTTGTACATGTTCAAAAGTATTTTGTAATTTTCGAAAAATAGTTGGATTTTTAGGTATTTTTCAAAGATAATTTCACGTTACTAGAACGTTCTGGGGATTTTTATAAATAATACCAGTGTTCTAAAATATTAGCAATTTGACACGAAAATTTATTAATGGGAACATTGAGATATTAGTGGATGAATGAAAAATTATTGTTAGAGAAAATTTAACGATGACTAATTATTTCAAATAAATTGCTTTATTTCACTGTTTTCGAAAATTCATATGTAATAATATTAAAGAAATATTTGAGGCAGGAGAAAATCTCAAGAAAGCGATCCAACTTATTTGTAGAATAAATTTTTTAAACTTTATTGCGAAATGTAGAATAATCGCCAACAATGGTCATTAATTAAAAATTGTTGATGCGACCTTAAACTATATTGAAAAAGAAAATGTATTCACTCGATATAACAAAAGATAAGAAATTCAATTTTTTAAATTATTCGTTTAATTTTGAATTTATCAACTTCTACGACTATTAGTATACAACTGTAACACAAGGAAACGTTGAAATCTCTTCTCAATGCAAATCTAGTAACCTTGGGAGAAATATTTCTTGCAGGTACAGTTCATGAATAAATAATTCCCGATCTTTCTTAAATTCAATGCAGAACCAGGCGTTACATGTCTTCATTCAGTTTAACATTTTTCCTCAATGGGATTGTACAATTGTTGATTAATTTAACACGCTACATACTCTTCGGCGTTTCTGCGAATCTTCATAATAAATTCCATGCTTTCTCGTCGGGCCACGACTAAATTAATGCCGCGAACGAAATCTCGTGTTTTGACCTATTTTTCCAATTAGTTGCGTTCTTCGTTAAATGCGTGCACGGAAAGAAGATTGCACGAGTAACGATCGAACGTTAGCGAGGCAGGTTAGCGTGATAATTTGAAAAGTACAGTTATTAAAACTGTGTTGTAATATTTGAAACTGAAATTTTCTTGTTCAAGGTAGCTTCGGTAAAAAAAGTTAATTTATGCGAAAATTCTGTATTAGAATATATGAAAACGTTTATTTTATTTATAATCAAACCTGTTCCGCCGTCTCATTAGTCAGCAATAAATGTAACGATTCACGACCAGTTTAATTTTTTGTTCTTTTTTTAAGGTGTATATTGATTCAAATTCTGGTTTTGCAACGATTTCGTAATTTTTCGTAATCTTAAAGTATAGTCGACAATAAATTTTCAAATATAATTGAAAATAAATTTTTTAATATAAATGAAATAGTGATATCGAGAATTAATTAAAACAGTGATATTGAGAACTTCTCTTTTAAATATTCGTTAAATTTCGAAAAATAGAAATTCAAAAGTACCAATTCGAAAAATTGAAATAGTGGGAATATTTCGTGGATATCAGCGATTGAAATGAATTTTCATCTTATACTTAACGTAATTGTATTCCAATAAATTACAACCGCCGTTGTGGCGTGTCGGTAGCGAGTTAAACTTGTAATCCGGTGACTAGGGTTCGATTCCTATTTCAGTAAATTAAAAGAAAAATGGAATTATTTCTGAAAGTACACGATTTTATTTAATCATATTATTTCTTTATTGAAATTATATACAATATTTAAGTTAAATATACGATTAAAGATCACATTGATATGAATCACTTGAATGTTGAGTAATCAAGGAAATTCGATAAATCTTGTGCGCAGATCTAATGCTACCTCAAAAAAATGTATTAATTTATGGACTTATAAAACACTAACGCAGAAGTGTTATTAAACATCATTGATGTAACTCTAAGATTAATTATTCTAAGTTCCTAGTAAGAATTAACAATAAATGTGAAATGAATTCTTTCTTGCTAATACGATTTTCATTAACTCACAAGGTAAAGAAGAAAAAATTCGTAATTTACGGTTCTACGTGGTAATTATAAAATCTACGTGGTAGATACGGTTTTTAATTAACGAATAATAAATAATCTTAAACATAGTTTCATGACTTTAAATCGCAAAATTACAAGTTTCACTGTTTCAGAAATTAAAATTTATTTCTTGCAATAAATAATCAAATTTAATGTTTTGCATAACGAAGAAAATATTTAATACAAATTTTCTTTCGAGACATTGTTAAGTATATTCTGAACCTGTTATACCAATCCACGTTATTCTACACAAATGCTAAACAATGTAAATTACACAGAAACTGGGATTTCTTCCCAATTCTAAGTAAATTAAACTTTGCATCGAATCTTAAACATCGCGATGTATTTTACATTCTTGTTAGAATCAAATATTCGCCATTCAGAAGCCAAAATGACTAACTCCACTTTCTAAAATTCTCCCAATTTTAATATCAAAGCTTAACTCTTCATAGATAAAAAAAAAAAAATTTAATAAATTCAATTCAACGGAGTTAGTCACTTCTGCTTCTGAGCAGCTCGTACACTTATACCTGTTATAAATAAATATTATGTTCGACAGATTGCATAATACACGACAAACATCTACCAATCGTTTTATTAATCAAATTTCTGAATGGAAATAATTGCTTAAGTTATTGAAAACTGCTTTCAATGTTGACGCTACCGATTAAGACAGCATTCAATCAACACTTTTTCTTAAGCTGCAAATAGAAATTCAGTTTTCCAATTCACTGTCCCATTGTGTTATCGGTCCAGTTACGTATCACAGTGCTAAACAATTCTTATTGAAATACATTTTTTAAACATTCATAGTTACGTCTAATTAATTATCTTCTTCTTGGTATTTTATGACTAACAGTCATCCGACGACATAAAAAGGAAAACAACATTAAATATTCTTCAGACAATTTTCTTCTTCTCGATCTTCTTCGAAAGGTTTAAACGTAGCATTTAGAAAAAGACAAAGTGCAGCGTGCAAATAAAATGAATACCAGATTCAAATATATTACATTTACGTCATCGCACAATTCGATATTTCCTTATCATTGTATCTCGAGAGAAAGGTCGGTGAAGAAATCAGATTGAAAATAAATTTCTTTTGTCCTCTTTTCCAATTGCTCGTCGTTCAGAGAGACTTCATTTTCAGGCAAGTTTCCTCGAGAGTTTCCTATCTCGTTGAAATTACAAAAAGTTGAAGGAAATGAAGGATTTAACGTGAGAATAAAATTACAACTCGTTCTCTTCCTTGTGTTATTCAAACCTGTCCGAATATTTCATTCTTTCCTTCTTCTGCACACTTTTCCATGTTTTATCTCGTTCTCATCCTTGTGTTATTCAAACCTGTCCGAATATTTCATTCTTTCCTTCTTCTGCGCTCTTTTCCAATTTCTGGTCGTTCAGAGATACTAAAAAAGGACTCCATTTTCAGGCAAGTTTCCTCGAGAGTTTCCTATCTCGTTGAAATTACAAAAAGTTGAAGGAAATGAAGGATTTAACGCGAGAATAAAATTACATCCCGTTCTATTCCTTGTATCGTTCAAATCTGTCCGAATATTTCAGGAACCGTATTTCGTGTATGAGTGATAGGCTGTTGTACACGGTCACTGCACCAATCTAGGTTTCGCGTAAGTGGAAACGTTCAGGTGAGATTACGTTTGCAGGAAGAGAGGATTAAGCATCGGTGGCCGCAATCGGATGACAAAAAAAAAAAAGGCATTAAGATGCGCGTCAGCGTCGGATCAACAGACAAGTTGAATATTTTCCTGAAGTTCCAGCAAAACAAAGGTGAAGGTGGGGTAGTAGGCAGAGGCTTCCAGGTGGGGTTCGACCTGTATGAATTGCCGTTGTTCCCACTTTCGACCACCTTGGACCTCAGCGATTGATCCTACCACCAGATGCTGGACATATATAAATGCTGTGAGCCGGAACATTTCTAGAATTCAATCTAATCGCAGGTAACACATCTCAGGTGAGTGTTTCGCGCGGTTGTAACATTTTCTCGTGGAAGTTGGCGTCGTTTCTTAGTGAAAATGTATGTATATATGGGTAGGTGTTGTACTTGGAGATTTTAGGATGAACGATTGGTGGTTTGAGGATTTTAGTCATTTTTGGTGGCGAGTTTTGTGCGTTGAATTTGGAACGAGTACGAGGCTTTGTTCGTGTCCAGTAAGTAGATTTCAGTAGATTTTCGTAGGTTTCAAGAGATTTTGATGGATATTAATAGAACACAGTAGGTTTTGATAGAATTCGGTAGATTTTTTGGTAAAATTCAATAGATTACCGTAAGTTTCAAGAGATTCAGATAGATTTTAGTAGATTTGTTTTAATTTTAAGCAGAGTTCGGTAAATTTCAATAGATTTCAGTAGGATTCGCTGAATTTCTGTACATTTCAGTACACTTCACGTTCAGTAAGTGTCCTAATACTTATGAACTTGTACCTATTTCTTTTCTGGTCAGTGATTAGGTGTCTTCGAGTATCCTTACAAACAGCCATAACAACATTGTGCGTGGGTGTGTGTGACTTATTTGACCAATAAGTTGAAACATTTAAACTCTATACATTTTCAAACGAAGAGAAATAATTTACATATTTCTTTTTTAATTATTCAAGGATAAGTTTAATCTGATATTTTCAATTTCCTTCTGACAGCCATGAAAACCTCGGTGATTTGCTTGTTCCTTTTGGTCGCGGTTGCCTACGTGGCTGCTCGTCCAGAAGGAGAGACGTACACAAATAAGTTTGACCACATCAATGTAGACCAAATTCTGCAGAGTGATCGTTTGTTAACTAACTATTACAAGTGTTTGATGGACGAAGGAAGATGCACGCCGGAAGGAAATGAGCTCAAGAGTGAGTTGAGAATACTGTTGCTCCTTTTAATTATTCCTCCTTAACCCTGTAAGTTTCTTCAGTTTTTGAAAAATTAAAATCAGAACTTAGTTCTCACGTTTAACAGTAACACCGTTATTAAAAATTGTTTTGGGTGGAATCATTTGATTTAAAGGGGTGTATATTGTGATTGCAAGATGTGCACAATAAACGTACCTTCTTGTTTGGGAAAAACGTGGAAGCTAGCAAGAATATAATTTCTCACATTCAAGGTCATAAAAGTGTAGCTTATGCTATATTACGCTGTATAGAAAAAATTAGGTCTCATGAAACGGCATTAATCATAACGTACACGTTTTCGAATCGAATAATTCTTTCTTCTTCTTCCTTCTGCACTTAGTCCTCTTTCTATCGCATTAGCTGTTACCAAAACTTTTAGACTACTAAGTGGTAATGTAAGCTATGATGTTAGACGTTTCTCTGTCAGCTCTATATTTTTATCATCACCTCCGTATTTACATCCCCCCTATAATTACATTAAAAAGCAAGCTTGTAACATTACATAGCAATTGCCTTCAGAAATCAGAGCGAATCTAATATAAATCGAAACCATTTTTCTAAACGAGCCACTCATAAGCCAAAAATTGACCAAATTTTTTTTATTTATGAAGAATTAAACATTTGTCTTGATACTGAAATTAGAAAAGTAGGAAAACGCGAAAAAATGGAGTAAATCATGTTGGCTTCCGAGTGGCTGAAATATCGCTAAAACCGTATTTTCTGCATTTATCCTTCCTTCTCTGACCATCTCTTCAAACTTTCAGAGATCTTGCCCGACGCTCTGGCCACCGAGTGCAAGAAATGCTCCGAGAAGCAGTATGAAGTGACGAAGAAGGTGATCAAGTATCTAGTGGACAACAAGCCCGAAATATGGAATAACCTACTGAACAAGTACGACCCGGACAAGAAGTACAGGGTGCAATTCGAAGCGGAAGCGAAGAAGATCGGCGTGAAAGTTTAAACACGTCACACGAATATACGCGACGGGAATTCACGGAGCTCGAACTCAGGGACGAACGGAACGTTCTTTCAGGAAATTATTCACGCCCGTAATGAATACATAGACGACACGACGATCGAATGATAATTAATAAGCGGTTGTAGCAAACATGCGAAACAAGCGGAAAACGGACCTCGACACACCAGGCAGTGTATATAATTTCACAAGCGTACACATACGTGCTTACATGAACTCGAAGCGATATTTGTTCCTTTTTTTTTCTTTCTGTTTTTCTTTGAGAATAAAGTTTTGACCAAAATTTTCATCAGTATTCGGTAGCATTCTACCGTTCGTACTTCTCCTTATATTTTTCTTCTTCGATTTCACGCAACGAAAACTTGGTTTGCCCGCGATTACTTTTTAGTGACTTTCAAAATGGTCACCGTTTAGAAACGGCGAGGAATATCGAGCCTAACCAAGACGACCGGTTGCGTAATTCGAAGAGCGACCTACCAGTAATTTTATCGATGCAACCTTGATATTAAGTCCACCATAATTTTCTTCGCTTCTAGTGTCTACTCGTAGACGGAATTTTCTCATGTGCTCGATGCACACGCGGTAAGTAATTAGATGAATACGCAAGTGACTTCATTTTGTGCGGGAAATTTTTTTACCTACTAACGAGTGTGGTTTAGTGTGAGATGATTTTTATCGATGTTAATGTTAACGCAGTTTTTACCGACTGAAGGTAATTTGTAGTTTAGAGAAAATATATTGTTCTCTGTAACAGCGAAGATGATAAATATTTAGAGAGAAATTGAGTGATTAGGAATAATTTTATTCAATTTCGACGACTCCAAAAATTAGGCGTTTAAGTTTAGTCTTAAAGTGGACAGCGAACACCTTTCTTCATTGCTGTTAACATTCACACTGTTTCAGTTTACTGATAGTAATCAGAGAGAAATTTTTTATGATAGTAGAAGTATTAAAAAAGTGTTAGGTATTAAGTTGAGTGATTATTCAAATTCAAAAGCTCTGCAAACACTTTCTCTCTAACCCTATTTTAATACTTACATTTTGTATCTCCGTTTCAAATTAACAAGTAAAATTTTCTTTGTTACACTGTAAAACACTATTTGTAGAAATATATATACGAAGGTCGCTCGTTTTCCTTTCAAATCTTTCCAAGATTTATTCCCAAAATAGGTGTCGAATGCAATTAACCCTTTTTGGTGTCTAAAAATTTTAAAAGTTAAAATTCCAAGTTGGAACTGCAAACATTTTAAAATTAAACATCCCAAATTTGAACTTGAAAAGTATTTTAAAATAAAGATCCCAAATTTGAACTTGGAAATTGGTGGTTTGAAAAATAAAAATTTCGAAGCACGCAAAGTACAAGAATCGAGGTACAAAAAGCGCTAACAACACAGTACCGGAAAATATTCGAAGGTGCGAACAGCGGTGAAAGGGTTAACATTATTTCTACGCTGTTTCGATACTTCTCACTGATCGTCAATTTTTCGATTATCGTACAATTATTCCACGCAACGTTCGAGAACACAGAACCAGAGAAATAGTCGTGCTCCGTCCGATATTCGTTCATTTGTCGATATTAATCGTTTCCCCTCGTACGAACAAGGTTATGAAATATCTACGAAACGAATTACACGGGAAATTCTCAACCTTTGCAATTGAGAAATCCTTAGCAATTAATAGGAGCTACAAAGGAGAGAAAAGTGTAAGGTTTGCGTGTCAAGGATTTCTTCTCTGACCAACAAAGGAAATATTTCACAGAAAATATCCCGAATGACATTTCTTCAACGTTGAAAGACGAGAATGCCTGGCTTAGAAACTGCAACGAATCTCGGTCTTCGAGTGGAAAAATTGAAAAAGAAATTTCTCAACTATTATGTCACATCGTGTCCGTCCTTGTTTCGTATTTGTTACGATCCAATAGGCGCTCACAGAAAGACACGTGCCTTTGTTGGCTTTTTTCTTGGCTTCTTTATGGGTGTTATTTTTTACGAATACATCATCGTTGATTTGCAATTCGATCCGTACGTTACTGCGTGTCTCGGTGGCGTCGTAATTATAATGTTATCGATTGGTTGCGCTTCTTCAATTCAGGTAATTACCACGAAAGCTACTTAAGTTGTTACGACTGATTTACAGTTTCTTGTAAAGATAACTCGAACTTTTAAGAGCGCGTTTCATCAAACTTTTAGGAAAAATTTCAACTTGATTGGAAACGATGTCCATGGAAATATCTGTTTTTTTATTGTACACTGCCGGCGGAAAGTTTGCTGCTAATTCTTTATTGATTTGAAATTGATACTGTGGAGATGAATAGCACTTTACCTCGTTTCGATTGATTTGAATGAGAAAAAAATTCGTTGGAAAATTGTTATAAATGCTAACCCTTTTTGGGGCAATTTTTGTGCAACTTGCAATGCACAGTGATTCCAAACGTTTGGCCGGTAGTGTATGTTCTTTTTTCAAATACTGTCGCTTTAACTGTGACAGGAGACGTAAACGTCAGACAAATGAAATTATCTCTTTAATTTACGTAAATATTGGTGTCCGTAGAGACAAGTGAGTGGAATTAAAAAATTGAGCGGAAATGAATTGCAGCAAAATTTTTTGGATCAGTTTTAAAATTTTAATTGAAATCAAAGTATTAAGTTTCGGATTACGTATATTCCTTTTTCAAACCTGTCGTTTTAACTGTGATAGGAGGAGATGTAAGAGTGTGGCGCTTAAAATTATGGTTTTAAATGAGACAGTATATTTCAGATGGTGACGGTTCGAAAAATTTCCTAGTGACCTTTATATTTTTCTCGTGCAAACGTGTATTTTTATAGCACTTTCTTTCTGAATACAACCATCATAGTTTCCTTTTACGATCGTGTTTCGATGGTTGTTTGCAAGAAGAAGAAAGAGTCGTCACTTTTTTTTTATTATAATACTGACTTATACTTGTAGAAAGTGTTCGATTTGACGAGCTATAATTAATATACAATAACAATTGTCTTACGCGTTTACGCTTTAATACATTCGGCAATGATACGTTCTTTAATTGAAAGAAACTATGGCGATCGTTTTGAGAAAAAAGTGTGTTGTAATCTGGCTATTAAAAAGCGTATTTCCATAGGTGACAGAAAGTAAAGGTCGCCGTGAAATCTTCGAAACGTCTCCATCTAAATAGAACGATTTAGCAGAATCCGTACTAATGATTCACTTAAAACCATACAACTTTACATGCACATAGGTTCTCTGGGTCAGAAAAGACCCGAAAATCGTATGTGTAACAATTTTCGTTGGATAATAAATTTTTAGCGTAACGTTAAGAGAACATAAGCTTGATAACGGCGAAAATTATGAACCTTCGATCTACCAACAACAAAATGATCCAAAATGATCACGTTAAGCGGCACACCCTGTGTACGAACCGTGAATAATTCTAAAGTTAAATTATAGTAAGTAAGACAGTTTCGATACGTGGTTATTATGGATAAAGCGTAAGATGAACACAAAGATTCTACGGAATCGATGCTGTAATGAATTGATAATCGTGACTGTGACGTGTTCCAATAGTTTGCGCCGGTGATTTGTCAGTTAATACCTTCTTCTTAGCACGCGTCAGAGGCTCGTTGAACGATTGTAAACGTTTAATGGCCGCATAAAGCTGCTTGTTAATTAATTACGACGAGATAAGTGTTGCATGAGATTTTAACAAGTAGCTGGATTAATGTTACTTTAAGACATGATGCTGGAATTATGACATACTTTGCTGTGCGTTTAATGAATTCCACCTATAAATTCCCCGTCGTTATATTCTTTGTGTAACATGTAAGTACTGTCCTACGCTGAGAAGATGACGAGCGGAAGGAATGCGGGTCTCGTTAGTTGCAGCTGATACACTATAAAAGTCAGATCACACGCATTTTTACTATTGGCCGAAACGGTGTAATCTGCTAATTGATCACGTGTCGGCGAGCCTCAAAGGTGGGAAAAGCGGCTTGTTTTCCTCGCCTCTGTGTCGTCCCGCTCGTCGTCTTTTCTGCGCAGAACTGTACATGCACGTGCGATTTTTTGGAAAAAGTTATCAAATTCTGTTTTACCGACGATCGGACGGTTGCTACAATCAATTTGGGGATACTGATTGTTTAAGTTCCGAGGATTCGCGGACGGAGGTCTATGTTGAGATACTGATTTACAATTGTGAAAGTGTTTGGAAATATTTCATTTGCGAAATATACGCATTTTACCTGTTTACCTTTTTCTCAAGTGCAGGTGAGATGCGTTTGCATTTTGACGATTCCAGCTTTCTTCGGCCGAGCAGGTCGCAGTATGTTGAGAGCGCTGATTTTTGGCTACATAATCGCTGGACCGCTGTTCAATCTGGTGTACAACGCGAAGGAAGTTGTGAGAACGTTTAGTTGCACCTCGCAATTGACGTATAATCTTACGAAGACACGATTCGATTTAATGTTCGGTCCGTTTCAACAGGTAAAGTACGTTTGCCTTTTCTATTTCATAGGATGCGTAAACAACGTGTTTGCAAATTATGTAATATCGATTGTATTGAAAAATGTGAGAATATACAGGGTGGGTCGCGTTAAAGAGGCCATTTTTGGAAAAACTTTTTTACAAATGTCATGTTTTTCTGGTCTTTTCTTACATGAATGTGTATATTTGTTTCTACCGTGTGTTGCAGCAGACATTAATGTGTATTTAAACGTGCATAATAATATAGCATTAAAATGATATTGGACTCGACAATTTTAAATCAAATGTGAAACTTCCTCTCATTTTTTGCCATTTCTTCCATTAAAAGAATTTTTCTCCCATCTTGTTCACTCCTTGATACGATTTAAACTGTGTGTAAAAATTTTCTCGTACCACCACAGCTGGAGAAGCAGGTAATTATGTGCATAGTCTAGGGTGCCCGCGATCGATTCCCGGCTGCTCACGAGGATGAATCGAATGGACGTGGAAACTGATGTGCTCGTAAATTGCTTGAAGATATTGTACGAAAGGTAGGTAAGAATTATGAACGGTACTGTTTTAAAACTTGGATATTATTATTTCTGTGTCGCTTTTGCTGGATAATC